TGTATGTAGGTATAGTTAGGAGGTGGTCATAATATCCAAGATGCTTTCCTGATATGCTGGCAACTTTTCTTCCTGTACTTTTTTAGTTGGTTCTTAGCAGGACTTGTGGTCCAATAGTTTCTAAGAGAAGGTTTCTTGCTCTGATTTTCCTCTTTTTTTTCCAGAAAGAGCACATTTTTGATGAAAGTGTTACTTAAGATGGGGATTTGACTTGAAAAGGCCAGGCATCTCATCTTTATCAGTATTAGTTGAGTTATGCAAGTATCAATAGTATGGAGGAGAAGTTAGTCAACATTTGTTGAGGCAAATTATGGAGCTCCTAGACCAGGAGAGGAGACATAACCAAGAGTGGAATGAGGAGCTAGCAGGTTTTATGTATTTGTGTAAACTGTAGTATAATTTTTTTCATGTTAAAATATCAGCTTGAATTAGGTTCCCATCCTCCTTCTTTAAAAGAGTTTTCAGACAGAGTACTCCTTCATGCTGTTTTGCTGTTGATAAGAGTTAGTTATAAAGGAAGTATTACAGCAAGTCTTTTGTTTGTTTGTTTGTTTCTAAGATCTCTGATGTTTTGTTCATTGAATTTTCTAATTTTTTCATGTATATGGACTAATAAAATTCACAGTCTTAGGCTTTTTAGCATGTCAGAATTCTAGTGACAAAGCGAAGTACATTGTGTCAATGCATTGCATTTATTTTCTGCCATACAACTTTATTTTCTGCCATACAACCTTCCTTTCATACCTAATTCGAGTGCATTTCCCTACTTCCATGTTCACCAAATCATAACCACACGAAGAGGTTATTCACGACTTAGGAATGAAAGTCCATCTGTTAGTTATTATCTTTGCTGTACTGCAGCACTTCAGAATGAATGCTTGGGAGAGACTTTAAATGCCATACCCAGTCTTTGCCCTCTTCTAAGTGAATGCAGATACCTAAGAAATGCTACCCTCTTTGGTCTGGGAAAAAAAAAAATCCTTCGTTCTTCCCATAAGTTAGCATAAGTTTGGTTGTGGATTTTTAGGACTAGGCTCAAAATAGATAGCATGATTTATTGTATCTGAGTTATGCCAAGTAAATACCTCGATGTTTCCACTCAGTTCTAGGAAGAAAAATCATCTTTGTTTAAAATATGTGCAAGGGGTTTAGTTGATCTCTTTCACAGGAAAATCATGAACGTCATTATACAAACATGCATTTTAGTAATATTTACAGTTACTTAGATAGCTAAAACTTGTTTGTTCTCTTTTCAGTGTCTAGAAGACTAAACTAAAGAAATAACATGGTTGCAATTCATGTTTAATTCCAAATTGCAGATTTTTCTTTATTATTATTAAAATAAAAGTTCCTGTAGATGACATTCAGGAAAACCTGATCAGCAGGGAATTTCCTGCTGTCTGAATTCAAGGAGACAAGTTACGCCACTGCAGTGATAGCCACGGGCACCATTTGAGGGGAACTTGTTGTGATGCAGTGACCTAATGCGGCATTCCTGCCTGTGGGAGACAGATTATGAGACTAAATTGTTGAATTCCTGGAAGGTGGTGGAATGACTATAGATAGTGAAGCTAGCCTTTGCAGAAACTCATAGATGCTATCAGAAGCGCAGACCCACATTAATTTTAGTATTTTCTGAAAGGTAACAAAGCTGTTCATAGAGCAAATAGAACAGTTTATATGGGAGCTGATGTAGGATTGCTGAATCTTGCTAAATTTTCTCAATTATCACAATTTTTGTAGGCTTTTAAACTGCCTACTGGCAGGCAATTTCTGTTTAATTTTTGTCCTTCAAAAAGAAGTTATTACTATTTCGTTCCAGCTAAAATCAAAAGCTGTTGTCTGCTAAGATCATCTCTTTGTGGTCCCTATAAAGGGAGTCGTTTCTTATTAAGAAAAAATCTAGCCTCTTTATTGCTTTGCGACATGGGCATAAAGCCTTGCTTAGGGCAAGAAAATAATCAGGAAAGTGTATCATTAGATGGTGGGTGTTGTTCAGGGAGTCTGAGGGAATGTATGGAAGGGAGAGAGAAAACATGTGGAAAGTAAATACCAGGGAGGAAAGAAGATTGAGAGAGAAAGTGCAAAGAGAAGTCCCACTGAATACAGGGATCGGGAAGCCATAGTGCAGACAATTTGCATGAACTGGGCAGCGGGAGAAAAGAGAAAGCAGGGGGAGGGTTTAAAAGAAAGATGTGAAATTGGTTATTAAGGCCATGGTTCTGTTGGCATGGTCTGTTAGTTTGGAGCCAGGCTTATCCCAAATCCATCCTGGCATGAAGGGCTGAAGGAGCTTGTTTAGGATGATAACTTCAGTTAAGTTAGTTCCTGCAGCTGGTCCTGGAGCATGGCAGAGTCCAAGTGAGAGGATAAACTTATGCTGGTTGTTAATTTTACTGGATTGTCACTTGAAATGTACTGTGAAGGAAGGGCCTGAAGAATATTGCAACTCGTTGAGGATTCTTATTGAGCAGGCTGTGTAGTCCCAGTGACAGAAAACAAGAAGGTAAAAGTGATGATAAAAGGATGTCTGGTAATATCTGATCATGAGGTTCTCCCTGCTCCACGTCCTGCCTGTGGTGAGACCAATTTGCTGCACATACAGGAAAAGACCTGCCATTCCAGTGTTACCCTACATCCTCAGCTCATCTTGGTGAATAATCATTACAGGAAGTTATAAGACTTGTAAAAATGCCATTTCATTTCATTTTTCTCCAAACCGGTATAGCCTTTTCATAAGTAAAAATTGAAATTGTGTGTGTAAGGAAGAACCTTACAGGGCAGTCTTCTTTTACCCATAAGTCTCTGTTATTCACCCTCTGATGTATGATTTTGTTCTAGTCCTGGGATAAAATTGGGATTTTTATCACGACAAGGTCTTCAGAGATAACCTGAAAAATCAGTCTTGCTCAGGAGCTGTTCTTAATTAGACTTTGGAATTGATGTGACAAATACTAGTTTTGTTTTGAGATCTCTTAAGCACAGTCCAGGAAGTGGCTGGCAGGTGGATTAGCAGAAAACCTCAACTTGCACTTGTGTATGAAGCAGGGAATGTGGTAGACTGAGGTCTTGGATAGGACAGACGGCAACAGCCGAGTTTAAATAAGAGAAGCATTAAGCTCCTTTGTTATATTCTTCCTGAAGTTGACAGCCCACATTATGCACTAAGAATTTAGATGTTTTCTCTGTCACTGTCAACCAATAAAATTTACTTCAAAAACAATAAAGATAAAGCTCTGACTCAGTGATCTAACACTTCAATAATTTACTATCATAAAATAGTTTTAAGTACAAATGTTTTATCTTATGCCAAGCTGGACGCTACAGATGTTTTGTCTAAAATATGAGATAATGGAAAGTGTATTGTGGCATGTGAATTACTTTAGCCTCTTGGTGGTAAATGTTTGCTTAACCATAAAAGAATGTGTTGAAGTCCTTGCCAAAGGAAAGGTATTGCCATACTTCGCATTTAAAGTACTGTAAATAAAGCAGTAAATATGTTTCTGTTCATGTATGTTAATACACAAGTTATGAATGCATTCATTCAATAAGAAATATAATATACTGTTATCCCTTTTAAAGGATTTCAGTAAGAAGAAGTCATAATTACTTTGGCTTGAGTGAAACATGAAACCAAATATTTTCATGATGATTTGAAGTTAAATATGAGAGAATTTTTGCTCAAACTAAGTCTCCCTTAAATCCCAAGAACTCAAATCCTGTTTTACCCTCAGTATTCTACTTGTGTGCTGACTCCTGATGTACTGCTCTTAAGCACACATTACTGTAAATCATTAAGTATATGAATCCTTCACCATCCAGTGTTGGTTTTGGCAAAAGAAAATACAACTACCTAGTATTTTAATGATCAGAGGAGGTACAGCAGCCATGAGCAATACTCCACGTACTGCCTGCAGTATATTTGGTTTTGAACTTCATTTGCCTTTAGCTGATAAAATAGCTTAGTGGTAATTTAATTATGCTGATTACAGAAAGAATTGCATAACTCGGATTGCAGTATAATAGTATAAGAGCATCCTTTGGATGCTGCTCTTATAGGAAGTGAAAGCAACAGGGTCCCACCTTCAGAGGCCTTTGAAATACCCTTCCTTTCCCTAAAATCTCACATCCAGTTTTCCAGTTAGAGAGTTGGGAGAGAATATTACAGTTTGAGAAAATTAATTGTGGAGAGGATGCTCAGTTTACTTTCTGTTACTGTGGTATCATTTGTTATGTACCTGGTTTCACCCTCTGGAGTGAAGAGGAGCCATTTTCTGGGAAGGGAGCACACATCCAAGTCATGCACCTCTTGTAGCACCACACGTATGTGGGGATTTCTAAAGGGGTTTGTAGCTGATGGTGCTGTAAGCAGAGATTTGCTTTGGCATTATAGGGGTGTTGTACCATCTTTTATAAGTTATTGCTGAAATCTTCTTGTGTCAGAACAGGGGTATCTCTCCTACAAAAACAGAGCTCTAAGTGCTTCCAGTATACCTGTGCTTTGGTAGTTGTTCAGATACGCTTTTTATTTTATTTTCCCAGTGCTTCACTGGTACTTCATAAGCAAACATGATAAATAAGGTACACTGCTAACTATGTAAATTAAGCCTGGAGTGTTAAAGCCTGTAAGTAGGATATTAAGTGTTATTTTTAATTTAGAACCTGATTTGGATAAATATATCAATTTTGATAACCCTTTGTCTGTGTCCGATTTGCCAAAGATATTCATTATGACATAATAAATAATTTCAGCCCTTAGAGAAATTTGACTTTGATTCTCCTCTTGTTCTTTATACTTAGGAGGTTTTAAAAAAATCTGTGTAGTTGGATAATAAAACTGGATGTGTAATTTGAATGATAAGGTAGTTCTTTTGGACATGGTATCACCTGAAAATCATGTGAAATGCCAGAGAGCTTTTTGATTTTTTCTTTTCCCAGAAAATGTATGTTATGTCCTTGCTAGTATTAAAATCCAAAATAAACTTCCTGTTATTTTTAAGGTACAATGAACTGGATGCCAGTAGAAGCCTCTTAGACAATTTGAAAGGCAAAGTAATAATTGAGTATCCAACATTATTTGTGGTCTTGAAAACACTGAAGAATGACATGGTGGTTCTTGGCAAAGGTGAGCATATATATATATTTCCTGTTATGCTATACTTAGATATTTTACTTACAAAAACAGTAATTAAGGATATACCTATTAATAATGTCAGGAATGGGCAGTATGTCTTGTATTTCACTCTGAATCAAAACGGTTGCTATAAGAAAGCTATTATGAATGCTTTGTCTTAAAAATGCTGACTGATGACCTACATCCATAAGCTGTATTGTATGTGTTTTTCTAACTTTTTTTACTGGTGCTTTATTCTTTTTCTAAAAAATATTCTTAGCCTTTAAGGTAAAACAACTCTTCAGACTTGTGCTAATTTTTTTATGTAGCAAAGTTTGACAAGTCAGGCAGTCTGGGGAAGATGAGTTTCAAGTAAGCCTGCTAATCTTACATCCTAGCATAGCTCCTAACTTTGGACAAATAGTTCTGAATTGTGGGATATTTATTAGGAATCATAATGGCAAAGTAGGCTTTTGGGTGGATTAAAAGCACAGTGTTATCTTTTGAAATTTACTTGAGGGAAAACTTTCATCTTGGAGTTAACTTGAAAGAGATTCCAGGTCTAGCAAGAATTTCTATTTTAATTTTTAAGTGATTTTCCATTGTTCTCCCCAGTATAAAGGGTTCACGTCCCAGCTTCTCTTTCTGCAGCTGCTGAAATAGGGAATCAGTTCTCTTGTCTCCTAGTCCCCCACCTGGTCACCTTAGTTGTCAAATTCCATGCTTTTCAGTGGTGAGCCAGCCTGTAATTTCTACAGATTTTTGAGGAAAAGCTTTGAGATATATTTGCAATTACTGTTTCCCTGTGGCAGCTCAATCATGGATCTGTATCTGTATAATTTAACTGAATAAATATGTGACTGAGAATATTGTACCAGTGATACTGAGCTTCCATGGATCTTGGCTGTTGTGGCTAGATTACACTAAGTGATCCACTAAGTGAGGGCAACCTGCTCTCAAACATAGGGCATGTAAAAATTTATTGTGCAAGGGCTTCTGAGAGTGAGACTGTGCCAGGGGTAAGGTAGGAGTGTTGTCTGCATAACTGGGTCTACTGATATTCACCCTGAGAGTGCACAAACAAACACTGGAGTACATGAAACTTGGTATTTTTGTGTTTACCCATTATTTCTTGATATAGATCCCTTGCTTTTCAGTAGTCAGCCCTACCCTTATGATTTTGAGATCAGGAGGGAATTACAATTGATTGACTCATATACTTAATCTGAATAGGGTTGTTGTCATTGTCTCCCGAGCTAATAGGGAGGTTGTCCTTTTAAGGGTATAGATTCAAGTAAAGTGTTGATTGAACAACTGTATTTTGAGGTCATGCTGCTGCAGCACCTAGCTGATTCTGTAAAAGGCAGAGAAGGGGAAGAGAGAGATAGTAATAGCTGGGGAAGCTCCGTCACAGGGCAGGGCAAGTGTGTATCTTAAAGACAGTTAAGCTTCCTCTGCTGCAGGGATCATTGGGGTAGCAGTCATCCCTGAAGCTGGTATTCTGGGAACACTGACAGCTATTTCAAGTTATGAGAACTATTAATTTTCTTTTGGTTTTCTTTTTTATTGTTGTTTTAACTGTTTCTATATACTCCATAAAAAAGAATAGCTCCCTATTGAGGTGTCTTGGGTATAATACAGCAAAAATTATGGCAAAAATATCATGATTTTCCCAACTTTTATCATAACTTATTTTTGTCATCTTCTCAGTTAGGATGACAAACTCAGCCTTGAGTTTGTTTTGGATCCTGTGTTCTTGGAATTTTTTCTATTAAGAGTGGAAGCCTGTGACATTAACTTCAGATTCTTTCAGAAAAACTGTATTCAGAACATGAATATAGAAGTAGGAGGGCTTTTTTGTTGCTGTTATTCTGCCTGAAGACAAAATACCACTTCTGTTGAAGTGTGTCACAATCAGTGTACTCTTCTGTTCTGTGTCATCTTTACAGAATATAGGAGGAAAAAAAACAGTTTTCATTTTGCTTTAGCAGTTGCATTCACAGATAATTGCTAAGAGTGCAAATCTTGAGTTCATCTCCAGACTGTCCAGGGAGAAGTCTTTTGTAATCAGAGAGGTATTCTAGCCCCTTCCCATCTCCCAGGAAGTGACCTTTCTGCTACAGCATCTTCTGTGCTTCCTGCAGTCCAGTTTCTTTGCCATGTATGGCTTTTTGTATCAGTTGCATGCTCCTCCTAAGCCATCCATCCTGCTCTTGCTTATCCTATTTCTACCAATACTGCCTTTCCTTTCTGTCCTACTTGTGCCCCTGGAGGGACACTTGTCTCACTCAGAGAGCCTGTCCGGCTGACCTCCCTTTGCATTCCAGGCAAACAGCCGCCACATTGATGAGTGGATGTCTGGCAGGGTGTCTGCTGCAGTATGAGGGCTCAGCTACCATAACCCTTCTGACTCTGCTGGCAAGGGACCCAGGCTGGAACAAGGAACAAAGTCTTGTGGGAATTTTAATTGCTAAAATATTGTTTCTTTACTGAGCAGTGTCAGATCTACCCCCTTCCTCGGGAAGAACAGAGGCAAGTTTTTATAGCCACAGCAACAGGCACACGTTGGGGAAAGATCACCATTCTACCTGTGATTCAAGTAGTAACCCCCAAAGACTGAGAGAGAGATAGAGCTGGACACCTTCAAAGAGAAACTGCTGGAATTTAATGAGCATAAAGACTTTATCCTCTCCTTTTTTTCAGAAATGGCTGATGTATTTTGGCTGAAACTTTCAAGTAAATAAGGAAAATAAAGATTGAGGACAGAAACTGCCACTGAAAAATCCAGAGTTTAAATTTTTAATTATAAGTAAACTGCAGACAGTTTTATGGAGGGAATGGGCAATCTTAATTTATAGGCAATGCTATCAGCACCATACAAATATGTTCTTTTTGAGTGAAGACAATCTGTAATTCCTGTTAAATAAAACTTATTGTAACAGACAAAAATAAAGCTAAAATTTGTCTGTTGAGCTTTGCTGTGAGTCAGAAGATTGCCACATTCTTTTATGTGATGTTTTGATGCTTGACTTGCTTAATAGCAAAACCTACAGGTGCTCTGATTTCAGCATACAAGGTCAGTCATGGCTGAAGATAGTAGGGGATTATAGAAGCTTTTACAGGACTTAGGGGCAAAAACAATCCTTACTTTGTTCATTACTCAGTACATATCTGGCATATAAATGTTAATTGATTATACACTAGATTTAATGTAGACAAAATTTGACCTCTGATGTTTCTGGGTGAAATGCCTCTATTTTCTTGAACAAATTCCTTGGAAGCTGTACAGGTGCACACTGTGTCCTATGTATTATCCATGTTTGCCAGCTGTAGAACTTATCTTGACAAGACAGTAACTATACTTCATCAGCTCCCTTTCTCATAATGAAGCATCTGACACTAAATGCTCAAAAAGGTGTTTAAATTCATAGTCAGATCAAATACTGAAAATAACAATGAGAGCAGAGAGCAGAGTGTGAATCATGGGCCTGCTTTGCTGTAGTTTATTTTTGTGCTGCTTGAGTGTCACCAACCAGTGGCATTTGGTGACCTCACTACAAGGTGACCAGGGTCAGTGCTTGTTAAAGAAGGATTCATGGGGTGTGAGGCTGAAGACCAGTTTTGGAAATGAGTGCTTCACTATATGATCTCAGCAGAGCACAATAGCCATGCCCTAAAGCACAAGTTGTTGTGCAGCTGGAACCTCATCAGCCTTAGCTCATGGATTCACATAGTTTATCACCATCTTTGGGATGCTGGAACATGTGGGAGAAGCACGTAGGTACATCATTTTAATTTTCCATTTTGAATTTTTCAGTAGTTCCCCATCTTAATTGAAATGCTAGGAAAAGTGTAAATGACTTATAATGTGTTACAGTTGCAATATATGTATGTAGCAACTCAGAAAACAACATGTAAAGCAAACCAAGCGAATGACTTAGAATTTTAAGTGGATAAAGAGTTTTGTGCTTTTCTACTTGACTGAAAGACCAAGATTTAAAAACTAAAATAAATTCTCAACATTGCCTGCTTTCTCCTTCAACAACAAGGTCGTACCCAGGGCTTTATCCCATGTTATGAGACTGGTTATGTCTTATGAAATAGCTGTCCTCAAGAAAAGTGTGATTGAAAGGAAAAGAAAATAGGAAACTGCTTCTGTTTGATGAACCAACAACATTACTGAAATTAATTGCTTGTTTGGTTTTTGTGTTCTATATCCTCAGATGGCAGTGAACCTGTAGAGAACTCCGACAGTGAAAGTTCATCTATTTCATCTATGGAGGAAGGGGAAATTCGGGACAGTTCATGACGGTGCTTTGAGAGGAGAGGGTGGAATGAGCTTTTTAGGTTTTTAATTATTTAATTAAATGATTTTTTATACAACTGAATTCCTAGAGGTTTGGTTTAACTTTCTTCGCTAAGACAGCATTCCCAAAGTGCCTGCCTATTTTTGGATTTACTAATGCATATTTAGGGGTGTAAATAAAGAGATGGGGAATTGCTGGTTCCAGAAAGAAAATTATATTCTTATTTAATTGCAGCCTTCAATTGCACCATTGGTTTTCATTTTTTTCATTTTCCCCTAACAAGCTCAGTGTCTAACTTCCAGGTTTAAATATCTGACCACATATTTGTATTTTAAGTGGATTTGGGTCTTAATGCTTGAACTTACTGAAGAAAAATGAAATCTAGTTCTAATGAAACTGATGTTTCATTACTTTTGACTTTAATCTTTTATGGTGACATTTTAGGTGCTTGGTGCAATTTGTCTTACTTGGTTGCATTCTTGTTTAATATGTTAATGGACAGGTCAGACTGTGTTTTCAGGGTGGCTTGTTGCTGTATGTTTAATCTTCTACCCGGATCTTCTACATTAGCGTGGGGTTTAAAATCAACAGAATTGGATGCATAGAGTGGCACTGATGCAAATATACTGCACTTCTAAAGAATGTTTGTGTTCTGCATCTCATGTTCCCAGTATACCTACTGAAGTTAGGTATTGTAAATACTTACTGGCATATCAACTCAATTTATCTACTTTAAACAAATAAATTGTAAAGGAAAAAAAATCCTGTACTTTATCATCTGCTAACAATAGAAGTTTGTGGTTAACTTCTGGGAAGATTTCTAGATCACAGACCACATATCCCTGCATCCAAGTCCTCCCTGCCTGTGGGGTCTGTTGCAAGTGGTGCAGGACAGGTGAGCCCCCGTACCCACTTGCACCAGGGCATTCTCGTGACTCAGCATCAGTGTTTGAGTTAGTGTGCAAGGGTCTAGCCAGGTCAGTGTTTGTAAAGTCTTCAGGATACGATCCCTCTCTGAGCAGCTCTATGAGGTTGTTGCTGCCTCTATTATTACCCCAGTCTCTGTCTCCTGCTTGAGACTGGCACCTTTGTGACAAAAGTTGGTGTCCTGGGTACATGTTCAATCGCCATGAAGATGATATTTCAGTTGTAAGCGTTTTTCCTGCCAGCGCTGACATAGTAGGTAGAAATACAGCAGAAAGCAGTGAAGGAACTTGTGGAGGTAACAGGAGGCTGTGGGAGCAATACAGGGGAGGGCTCAGGCTTCCAGGTTCTGTCTAGGCTTCAGGGCCCCAGGATGCTAGGTCCTCACCAGTCATGCTGCTGCATGGAGAGGATTTTTGGGATATTCAAAGTTTTAGAAATTTGGGGGTTTTTCCTTGAGAAGAAATTGTTGTTAAAAGATTGTTTACCATGACATCTCACTACTAAGTTTGGACAGACTGTCAGACCTTTGCAGTCACATACTACTTTCTCTCACAGTGGTGTCACGTGTCCTTTCCTTGTGTGTTTTGCAAACCCTGGTAAAACAGGGAAGTTTTTCTTCTTGCCTGGCAGTAGCCACCTGTGCTCTGTTTTCCTTTTTACTCATTGTTGGTCCTCTGCCGACCTCTTGTTTCAATGTTTGTTTTTTTAACCCTTTATAAAGGACCAGGATTCCTAGCTATAGGTGCTGCTTTCATATTTTTTCAGTTGAGTGAAAGTGAATAAACTTTTCCTAATCAGTGATTGCTGCACACTGACTTGGTAGCCACAAATTACTTTAAACCAGTCTTGAACTCATTCATAGTAATACCAGTAAAAGAGCAGAACAGCAAAACTGCCACAGTTCATTTGCTAGAAAATGTTTCATCTGGAGTAAAGGCATGGCATTTCTATTGAATTCATAGCACAGTAAGGAGAGTGCTGCAAACATTAGTGTTGATCTGCATGTGCGTGTGATTAGTCTTTGGCTGAGGAACGCAGATTTGTAATTCACATTACTTTCCTATGCTCTTGGGGGTTTTCATGAATTGTACGAAAGGGTTTCCCTGTGGGGTTTTTTTCTTATATAAATCCAGTTTAGGCTTCCTTATGAGTCAAAACACAGTTTAATTCATTTTTAAATGAAGATGTTGTTAAATCTGTTCTTCAGATTTAACTCCTTCTCTACCTTAAAGAAGGCTTTAAAAAATTATTAAGGAATATTCCTGTGGTGGATACTAGAACTGAAACTTCCCAGACAGAGCTAAGAATCATCTCTCAGAGTTCAATCAAATTGAGAGCATTTGCCATTCATTCCTAGGTTACTACTTACCTATTTTTACAGTTACACTACTTTGAACAGTGATGATTCATCAAATACAAACCCAGATACAATTCAAATATTTTATTCAGTTTTGCTAAGCTTTTTCAATTTTTCTTTATGATGAGGATTCAAAATTATGGTCTCTGGCTAAAAAAACACAACAGCACTGTTGTAGGTGCTGCAACAGTGGTTAGTTCTTCATAATAATAATGTTAGTGATTAAATCAAGGTTTATGCACCCTTTGGCTAGGCAGATGTTTTTTAACACTTTCATAGGCATTTAGGAAAGTTTTTTATTTCTTTCTGAGTGACTTAACGTGGAACAAGCACCTTGTAATAAGCTGAAGAGAGAAAAAGCATCTTCTGTATTTTTAAATTTCTGGTCAAGCACTAGAAATTTAATGCATGGAGCCAAGGCTGTCTGGAAGACTTCAGTTCTGTCCGTTTTGAAAACATACTATTGTAATCATACAAGGATCCCTACAGGACTCTGCCTTGATTCAGAACAGATCATGTCTATGAATGAAAACTGTGTGATAATGTTTTAATCTGCATCATTCAACACCAGCTTGCGTTGAGTGTTTGATTTTATGCCTGCTATGCTTACTCATTTTCCTCTGTAAAGTACTTGTCACAGAAGGAACAAGCTATTTGTGTGTAGGTTGTTACAGCATTTCTTTTAATGTTTAGACTTTTCAAGTTTCAAACCGTGAACCCAGCATGCTTGAGCTGAAGGACCATCAGCTTCCAAAGAGTAAAGGCTCTTGTCTTGAATGAATACACTACTTAAAAAAATCAAGAGCTTAATGAAGTCATCCCTTTCACAAACCTTAAAGGACAAAAATAGAGCATAGCTAAGCACACAGCAATAGCTGGGAGGTAGGACTGAGTCAGCCATAGGAGGGGACTTGGTTGTTTTCCTTTTTTGTATAACTTCCTGGGGTATGAGGCATAAGTTATTGAGTTGTCATGGATAAACAACGTTCTACCCCCTGTCAGCGTAAACAGCAAAGTTTTGAATGAACGCATCTGAATTCTAAGTTTTACTGCATTTATCTTGGCATTAGGAATTGTTGATCCGTAGAGGAAAAGAGGGCCATGCTGCTGAATGTGTGGCTGGCAGCAGTCCTTAGAGGCAGGCAGGACCAGCTTTTGTTACTCCAGTCAACAGTGCAGTTTTACTCTGCATTAGGAGTAAAACTGTTTACAGTGCAGAACATGCACTGTATTCTAAAGCAGTACATAGATTTCTAAGTTCATGGTGCTGATAGCAAGTCCCAGCTATGTGTTGTATCATCAGTCCTTGCCCTCCAGATATGGCTGTTCTCTATTGACATCTGGAGGAGCTGAGAACGTATAATACCGTGCAAGAGGAGGCTTTCCAGGGGTAAATATACAACTGTGATGAAGTAAGTTCAGGCCCTATTTGGTCACAGACTTTTCGTTTTGCTTTCTTAAGTCCCACGCTCTTTTCCTGAAAACATTTATTCTTCCTCCCTCCGAAGGAAAAAATATCTTGAATTTGTGTTTATGTCGTTGCTATGACATTCAGTTAAACTGTATGCAGATGCAGGTTCTGTTAATAAGAGAAAAAAAAACTGTACTGTGTACTTCAGTGAACAAAGATTACCCTGTGTTTGTGTTAAAATGTTGCTATGGCAGTGCATATGGTTTTATTTGCTGGAAGTCTGTGGTGAAATGGAAAGAGGTCACATGTATGCAAGACAAGAAATGGCAGCAAAAACAACTCAAAATAAATACTGAAACTGAAAGGGAAATTGCAGATGACATGTAAAAGCAGGAAAAAACAGGGACAGTTGTTTTGCTGTCTGTCTGTCTGTTATTTGATAATAGAAATGTGTTCCCACTGTGCCCCAGTGGGTCTCAGTGACCCATGGTACAGTGACTTAGCTCTAATGATGCTTTTATTGTGAGAACTACTTTCCCTCAATGGCCCTGTGCATTGTAGCTTTTCTGTTGTTGCTTTGGAAGCAAAGTTCCCCTGGCTTGTCCTGATTTCACCAGTGCTAACTTTTCCTGAGAAAAGCATTTCAAGGCTATCTTAATATAGTAGGCTTTTTGGCAGGGAAAATCAGGAGTGATAAAATATGGGAAGCCACTAGAGCCTTGCCTACCTTTGGGGCAAGGAGAAGTCTTTGTGAACTAGTGATAGAAGCAGTGGATTTAATTTATGGTTTTTTTAACTGGCACAGGAGTCCTTGTATTTATCTAATCCATTTGCATGAGGCTTCTTTTTGCATCAGCTGCATCAGTACAGCTGTTCATGTGGTTGCATGACAAATCAGAATGAGTTCAAAAAAATCTGCCAAAGAAGGAGGGATAAAAATGAGAAGAGAGAGAGGGAGTCTTTTAGAGAATAAATGACCACACTGGGAGCTGGCTGATTCCTGCATCATTCCAGCTGGTGGAAAAGCAAAAGTGTTTTTAAAATCACATTGCCACTTTCTTCCGATCATCCTTGTTCTGCCTCAACAAGGAGGAAGAAACAACTATGAAAGCTGCTGTTGCCTTTCCACTCCTTGCTTCCAGGTTCTCTACTGGAACTGTATTGTAGCTCCAGAATTTGTCTGTTTTGCCAAGAGTGCCAATAGGGAGTAGAACTGTGCTTAAGTGAGATAAAAATTAAGTTGAGGTATAGATATTAATGAAAAAGAATGGACTTGCCAAGAAGTCCCCATGACTTCCACACAGCCAGGAGGGCCAACTGTGTCCCAGGGGACATCAGGCACAGCATCCCCAGCCGGTCAGGGAGGTGATTGTCCCGCTCCACTCT